GCTTCATCTTTTTGAGCTTCCTCCTCAGTTTGTGGCTGAATGAAGGTGAATTGTTAACCTCGCATGTGTCTTTAGTTGATTTGTTTCCTCTCACCCCTTTCTCACCTCCATCCTCCCTGGGGTGAAGTCTGGCCCTGTGCACCTTTCAGTTAAAACCACCCTCCTTCTCTATGCGCATTCCCGAACGTGTGTGCATATGTGCGTGCGTGCGTGCGTGCGTGTGTGTGTGTGTGTGTGTGTGTGTGTGTGTGTGTGTGTGATTGAGCGCATTAGTCTTCAAAGTAAAGCACTTATTGCATGCAGAATTAATGATAATCCTCCACGGTGCTCCTGTGCTGCATAAGCCCCTCCAGCTGCTTTTTACCTTTTTACCTCCGGAACAACACGTGTCTCCCAGAGCCCCGTCTCACCCAAAGGCCTGTCCAAAAGCACAGAAGATGGACAGCTCAGGCTTTGAGGGGGGGTGAACAGGGTCAGTTAAAACCAGTTGGACGGAGCAGACTTTATGAAAAGACTTCTTGAAATGGGCAAGAGCTCGGTGCCTCCCTGCACAGCAGTGCAGCCCTCCCAGGCTCTGCGTGCACGTTTACACACTTCCAGCTCAGATTAAACACTTGCGCCGACACTCTTTGACCTTCCAGCCTCTTTTCTGTCAGCTCTGATGTCTACTCACCAACATTCAGACATTTGTCCTTTCTGATTTGGAGCTATTTGGTCAAACAGGAATGTTTTGTATTTGTCACTATTTCAGGGCCAACCCTACTGAAGATGGCCGCCCACCACAGCTAATTAAACTTCGCCAACATCAATGACATAAATAACTCGGACAATTTTATAAAATGCAATGCCAAGCCATTAGGAGCATGTTAAAAAATTTGAATTTAATCGATTTTCTTGGAAAGTGTAATTTTGCGGCATCTGCACAAAGTCAAAAACTACAGTGTATGAAAGGCTGCTGCCAAAAGCACGAAAAAGACAGAACTCCCTCTCTCTGAAGCAATTCTACTAACAAAACATCCAGTTTTAACTCATTTAAAGCAAGATATATTAAATGTATAACACATATTGGCATAAACAAAGCCTTTTTATGACTGACACAGATATGAGCCCAAACTCTACAAGTGATTTCCTAATTCATCCAACTTCCTCCAATTAAACTGGACTCCCACTGCTTCACACGCACAGAGGAGCTAAACAAAATCCCTTTCAAAATTTGCAGGGGAAAGAAAAACCCACACAAAAACTTCCAAACTTTACTTCTTTACTCTGAAGGTTTTAAACTAAACAAGATGCCAAGAGTTTGAATAAAACAAACACATAAAAACAAAAAGCGTTTGACAGTCAGATGTAAGTTAAGAGGCATGAAAGTTTATTAAAATATTAGAGGGCTGAGAAAACTGAACAATCTACCTTCCTGCCCAGTTTGATCACTGTAATTAATCACATAAACCCTGAGTTATTTTTAATATTTTTAACTCTGTTATTAATCCATATGATTGTTTCTACGGAGGCAAGATATGCACAAGATGTCCACCCCTCTTATTAAGGAAACTCTTCATTCAGAGATTCTTTACTGTCGTTCGCACCACATGTGGTTCATGTGGTGGAATGAAATTATGCACACATGTCCTACATCCAACAATAAAATGTAAAAGAAAAACAACAATAAGATCTAACATATGAACTAAGAAAAACATCAACTAAATATACACTAAGCACTAATAGCATTAAAACAATACGCCGAACAGCAGCACAAACATGAGTCTGTGTGAGCAGATGAGTTCGAATGAACACAGCAATATGAAACAGATCAGCAGCAACATGAAACAGATCAGCAGCAACATGATGTGATTTTTCACAGTGATTATTTTGGTTAGAGATTCATGAGTCTAACAGCTTCAGGGTAGAATCTGTTCCTCAGTCTAGTGGTTCTACACTTAATGTTCCTCAACCTCCTGCCTGAGGGGAGTGGGGCAAAAAGTGTGTGTGCTGGGTGAGTGGGGTCCTTCATGATGCAGGTGGCCCTCTTCCTGCATCTCGAGGTGTAAATGTCTGTGATGGTGGGGAGGCTGACTTCAACAGACTTCTGTGCAGCCTTCACCACTCTCTGCAAAGCTTTTCTTTCTGCAGCTGTGCAGCCTCCATGCCACATGTTGATGCTGGAGCACAGGATGCTCTCCACTGCACACCTGTAGAAGGAGGTGAGGACTGAGCTTCCCAGTCCAGCTCGTCTCAGCCACCGTATGATATACTCTGATGGGCTTTCTTGATCAGGCTGGTGGTGTTGTTGCCCCAGCTGAGGTTGTCGTTCAGGTGCACAAACAAGTACTTGTAGCTGGAGACCACTTCCACCGCAGATCCTCCTATGTTTGGGGGGGGGGGGGTTAGATGTGTTTGTTCCTTCTTAAGTCCACGATCATCTCCTTTGTCTTCTTCACATTGATGTCACATCAGGTTGTTATCTTTGCACCAGCTCTCCAGGTGTTCCACTTCCTGCCTGTAGCTGGACTCATCCCTGTTTGTGATGCATCCCACCACCACTGTATCAACTGCAAACTTCATAATGTGACAGCCTGAATGGGTAGGTGCAATCATACTTGAGCAGTTGAGCAGAGTGAACAGGAGAGGGCTCAGCACACATCCCTGAGGAGAGCCAGTGCTGAGGGTTATGTCACTGGGCCTGGTATTTTACACGTATTAAATGCCTCTTTGTCATCAGATCAGCTGCTTTCAACCTCACTGATTATCAAAAAGAAATACCTTGATCTTAATGTTCTTTATAATTGTAGGTCAAAAGTAGCATAAATTAAATTTCATGTCTAAAATTTTGGCAAAAGATGTTTTAATCAACTTCAAACCTTTCAGATACTCATGGTGTTTGTGGAAAATTCCAGTCCAGTTTTAAATCCTGTCACATCATTGAGAGAGAGTTTTAATAACTGTCGACTCAGTTTGCTCTGTTGTTTTAGAGCTTTTAGATTCAACTCCTGTTAATTTGACCAATCAAAGTATTCTTCGTCAACACTTGGACATGATGATGGTCTTAAAGACTCGGCTCTATAATGGTTTACGTTTTAGGTCAGGTCTTTGTGGGGGTGGGGGTGAATTCCACTCTTTATCAGCACTTAT